CTTTCTTCAAACTATTGCTTATTTCCGTGTTCGAGTTCTATATGCGTTTTTTTCGAAGTTTCATCAAGTAAGTCGACATTTTTCAACATTGATATGCTTGCGCTTGTCAGAAATATTTATTTGGTCACTAAAAAAAGTTAGATTTGTATTTGGGGTGTGGGGTATCTACCAGAGCTTGTAAGTGTAGAGAAAACATTAAAGCAAGACCATAATTGTACCTATACCAACATTTAGCTCTCATCCACACTCATATCCTGAAGCCTGCATATTGACACAAACACACCCACACCCTATATGAACGAGTTCTGTCCTCACTGTGGTCGCCGAAATAATCTGAATTTTCTATGCAACGCATTGGAAAATCATTCTCTTTGCGCTATTCAACTTCAACTGATGACAGGTATTTACAGTGAAAGTTTCAACTTGTTTCTTCATCCGAGAGAAAAGTTAACAGTTTTGTAATGAAAATGGGTCTCTCTTTTGCATTTTCTTTTATTTCTCTTTCTTCTCTTTTATTGCTTCCCTTTTTTGTTCCTTTCTAAGATTATGATTAATCATAGTTTACACTGTTGTGTGAACTATGCCAATAATAATGCAAATCTCTCTGTCTTTCTTCCACTTCTTTCATTTTTTTTCGTTTGACTCCATTGCTCTCTGTTTTCTTGCACTAGCCGTCTCTTCGATGTTGACTCTATTTTTATAAGCGTTCACGCAGTGTCGTCGCGAAGTAACTACCGTTGAAGGATATTCTATGGAAGTCATCGGAAAAAGTGACAAAATAGAAAAATTTTTATTGAGCTTCGTTAGCGACATCAAAAAGTTTCTAACACAGAAAGGGTAGGAATGACCTCTGCTCATGACAACTTGCGTCCATAAACACATAAAATATAACGCATACTTTAAAAACAGGCTGCTACTTTCTTCATAAAACAAACGAAAGAGTAAATTATAGCCTTCTAGTTGAGATCAAATGACACACGAACAAGAATCTTTCTCACAAAGTATTACTGATCATTTCTAGAATAGCAATGGTAACGGCCCATATATCAACAGAACCCATTGATGAAAATCTCGAGACATTGTCTGTCATCTGGCTCGACACTTATGGTAACGATGCAAGAAATCTCAAGGCTCAACAACAACTTCGTACACTATTTCATCATTTGAAGACATTTGCCAGCGTTGACGAATGCGAGAAACGTATTCAATTTGTGCATGAAGGTGATCGAGTAGTCTTGATCGTAGGAAGTAGCTCAGGTAGAATATGGGTGCCTCACATTCATCAGCTGAGACAAATATGGTTAATCTATATCTTCAGCATGAACAAGAAAAACGAAGAATAGATCAAACATTTCTCAAAAGTGAGTAAACTATCCTATGTTTGTTTGTATTCGAAAGGGCTTGTTATAAAGATTCAACCCAGGTAACGAAATTTTGTGTCGAATTTAGCTTTGAAATACAGGGCTACAAAGCGATTTGTTTTCAAACTTCCTCCATGATAGCTTCGGCAAAAGATTAACGGATTTTAATTTTTTTTCCTTTTCGAAAACGAAAACAAAATGGTTAGAGATACAATGCGACCATCACTCAGATCGATGACAGGATCATTTGCAAAAGGAGCGATGTAAACAGTCGATATGGTACCCTTGACTTTCTACTTGCCACGTGCTACATCAATTCTTCATTCTTTCTAATGGAGTCTTATTTTCTCCTAAAATTGATGGATTAAAGACAGCTTCATTTGATGTGAAAAAAAAACAGAGTCATTCTTGTCATACAATGTTGTCAGTGAGGGTAATCTGAAAGGCTACTGCATCAGCATCGATGCAATGAAGTAATGACGCAAGAAAACGAATAGAGGCTAAGTTGGGGCTAGACCATGACGAAGTTATGCATAAGTAGTCTAGTGGATTCTAATGAACACATAAAGTTTGATTCATTTGCGATTATAATCGATGGTTTTTCTTGACTAAACTGCGATTTGAAGGTAAAATTTAGAGTAGCATCATGCTAAACATAATTCACAACATCGTTGAAGTTTTATCATTGGGCTGTTTAAATAAAACTGCGAAACTATTTTCACTTGTCAAGATTATTTTCAATAGGCAGTGTTAACATAGAACTGAAATAAGCATCTGACGGATTCATTGCATTCTCTTTCAGATTAACGATGTCACCGAAGAGTTGGATGAACTCGTCACTCTAGTTGTATCCATTCAGAAGAAACCAAGAAGCCAGCGCATGCTTGATGAGCCACTCTCATTACTAATATGGAGCATGTGTGGAATAAATGAAATGAATACCTATCATTCATGTAAGATTGTGACGTTGGAATTACTCTTTGTCTGCTAACAGTTGTTGTAACTATTGCAATGGTATCCAGGTCGAGTTCGAGTAGAATGCAACTGCTTCATGTTAGCAGGATGTGGGTGTGGGTGTTATTGAAAAATATAGCAACATCCACATCCACACTCTAGGTTTTATATAACAATGCACAATGTCATTTGCATATAAGAGGACCAAAACATCAATCATATCAAGAGTAATCTGAAGTACACGGTTAGGTTCAATTTTACTGATACTATCTTATAAAATATGCTTCTAAACTTTGATCATATCTTTGCTAAAGCATACACATTCCAATTTACATATATTGTCTTCCAAATATCGATCATATAGATACATTAGTGATACAATATGGAACATACGAATTATTGTTATTTCAGCATCGCTTTGAGATGGATCAATCAAACAAGTTGTATGGCTTTTCGATGATGATTTTAATCTTTTAACAGCTAAATTTTTCTCTGTCGATCATTCAGCTGAATAAATGACAAAATGTGTTCCGTGTCCTAACTCTTGCAATTCATTGATAATGGATTGTTCTCCATTGAATTATGCCAAATGTTTAATTGTAACTAATTTGCATTCAACTTCAGTAAAAAATTGAAAATATCTATCAGCAAATGCATAAGCATTTTTCCTATCGTTTAAATATGATAAAGCAAGATTATAATTACTTTGAATATTGTTATCAAATGTTATCTTTTTATATCCAATCTATTGTTGTCAATTTTGACTCTATAACTATTTTTACATTTGAATTCTTAATCGTCTTCTATTTAAATATTTCGTATCAAAATCATGTCACTTCGATTTATTGATCAGAATTGAAAATAAGTCCATAGAATCCAACATATCATATGTTTCTTGTGTTTTCAGAGGTGATGCACTAATTGTATTATGAATATTCATTATATGGTAAAGTTGAAAGATCGTGAGTCAAACGTAATATAGCTGATGATGCTATCGATAATAGATACAGAATATGTTCAATGTAATTACATTGAATAATATCCTTGGATGACATATTCATTAAAATTTAACGGTGGGAAGTTATTAGTAATTTCTCTCTTTCTCTATCATTCAAAATATCTTATTTAACTAATAATTGAAAATGATTTCTTGCTTCATTTATCACTTCTTTTTGGACAATGGTCCTGATAAAGCCTTTGATATTCTTTGTTACAATACTTTTTATTTTTTTTGTAATGGATTGTTAAAACGATCTATTAAATGGCTCGTTCCATGATATAATATGGATGTTGATCAAAAAGTGTTTAAGAAGAATTTTATGAATATCTTCGGTTCTTTTCGACAATTTCTTTTCAATTTTTTTCAAAAAATGTTCACCTCATTGTTTTGCATATAAATAAACTTTATCCCGTTGTTCCTTGATTCGATAATTGGCTGATGTTGTAAAATTAAAGAAATTTTCTATTGTTGTTAAAATAGAATTAGCCATATTGTATTCTACTGTCATTTCAGTCTTTATAGCAAATTCTGTAATACGTTGACACGCTTATTTAGTCATTTCCGTACCACATTTAGATACTAATGAATATTGTATTATTCGCCACTCCTATTGTTGAATATAGTATTTGATCACATTTCAATCGTTCTTGTGAAAGAAATTCATAATATTTAGCAGCGGTAAAATTTTATCTTGGTTTCGAATTGATGCCAATACTGTTAAATAATGTTGTTATGTCTTTTTTTTGTATTGAAATAAAATATAGGTGTTTGTTCAAGATGATCTAATGATGCCCGAACCATCATATAAGATCAGTTTGCATACTTGACAAATGATGTATTTGAACACAGATGTGGATCAAACATGTCAAATTAACTCTTATAAATTTGTTTTTAATGTTGGTTGATCACAAAATAATAACCAACTTTTTTTTCCAAATGTCCACTATATCTATGACACTTCGTTCATCATAATGTTAAGTAATTAATTTAACGCGGAATCGTTTAAAAACAAAGAAGTCTGAAACTACGAACGTTGTTGCAGATATTGAAAAAATATCGAGGCGGCGATTTAGTCTAGCCCACTCGTTAGAAGTTTGATTTACCTGATGTAGTCTTAGATTTCTGTATTCAATGGTCAATGTTTCTCAAATATGTTTTCTATCATATTCACTCTTCTTTCGATAAATGGTTTCATCTGTTTTTCTTTTTAAACATTGTTATTTTCTCACATTCATATCGTTTGATATGATGTTGCCTCAAATGAATACTCTGATGATGGCATGTGAATGATTTGTAGAAAAATCAATCACACTTTAATTTTCTGATGTTCGAAGTATTTCAAATTTTACTATGAGGAAATGAGATCTAGACATGTTGTCTCAATAAATAAACAAGCAGTTTGTTAGCAGTGTTGAATCAATAGATTGAATATTGACTTTAAAGGCAATGCATATAAGAGAAGGCAATGATATTTCTAGCACTCCCTCCCCTCACATGAAATCTAAAACTGCAAAGAATATGTTCTTGGCCAGAAAATGATTTATTTGGAATAAACTTTTGCATGAACAAACAAGCCTTTTGCTGTTGATGTCATATGAAATTAGACGAGATGATTCGAATGATTCTGTTAGATTTTAGAAAAAAAAGATATCGGTAGTTGAATATGATCAAGTGTAGTGTGTGGTTTATAGTTGTTTCCGAATACTTTCAAGTAAAGTTTCGAGACTTTTTGAATCTTTGCCAAGCTTTTCGATGATGATCGTACGAGCCTTTTGTGCAACACCATGCCACATGGATATAAGCGCGCCAAAACGAGTCTCAAGTAAAATTAGTACAATAGCTGAAATGAGAACTGGTACATCGGTATGTATCGAGTGAAAGTCTGTCAAAGATTTGCCTGTTAACTGTTGAATGGATTCAACATCCAAATGCCAAAGACCATTAAAACTTTGCTTTTCGATCAAGTGACGAACGATATCTTGATCGTTCAACGGCCATTGCGATAGGTCGGACTGCGCTGAAACAGCTTTTGTATGCTTATTAGAACTGCTAAGAAAGTAGTCTTCCCTATTCGATGGTGAGTGCGACCTTGATCTTGATCTTGATATTGCTCTTGATCTTGATCTTGAGCTTGAGCTTGATCTTGATCTTGATCTTGATCTTCGTCGTCTTGCACATTCAGGTCGATCATTAGCTTTAGATGAGGTCCTGCAGGATGATAGTGAATAATATAATCTTTTATTCAAGGTGTCATCTCTAGCAGCGCCGCCACGATCACGACCTATACCGACACGATAACCAACATAAGTGCCATATACGGAAGAGCCCATAAGATTGCTATTAAGAGTTATGGATCCATGAGTCTGATTATATGGACTTGATGTTAGATGCTGATCATCAGCTGAAATTTGAATTGGTACTTCCCGAAGAACCATATGAGCATTGTTTCCATCTGTTCGTTTTTCGATATCGATAAAGGCCGTGTGCGGACTCAAAATCTTGTATTTTAGTGACAATTCAATAATACGTTTCTTTTCTGCTTCCTTTATTTCCGATATTGTCAATTCGTTTGATTCTTTTATGTTATCCTGGAAGCGAGATTGTCGACTGCCAACTGTCGTTTTTTTAGCAGGCAGTTTAGCATGTTGCAATTCCAAGATGAGTGCTTTGGCTGCAAGACGTGCAATCATTCCGTTCTCACTTATACTAGGTATTCGGCTGATTCTTGCGACACTCAGTTGCTGTTGATCAACTTGAAGTTCAACCGATGAATTATGATCGAACGGAACCGATTTGTCACCTACGAGACCATAAACAATTAAACGATCTTTAGCATAAACTGGTGGTAATTGATTTGGTACAGTTTCTACAACTGTTGTGCCGAGATTCCACTTCACTTTTACATTAGTAATGCATCGTTGAAGAGCTTTCTGCAATTGTTCTCCAACGTGAATATCAACAGTGGTATTTGGAGGAATAAAAACAAATCGACCGTTCGTTGATCGAGCAAGACCTTTGACTAACGAGCGACTAGGCGATTGACCCAAACCGAACGAGAATATTCGTGTTGATAAAGCCATCGAACGACACAAGTCGAGTACTTCAGTAACATTCGAGATTTCACCGTCAGTAAGAAGAAAGATTTGACGAGATCGTCCTTGAGTTGGTGAGTGTTGCTCAAGCCATTTGAGAGGTTTTAACTACAACAAAAAATTTTATACATTATATTAAATGAAAAAAAATACAAGATATACTTACAAGTTCAGTGCCACCCAAATCAGCTTGCATAGTCTTGACAAGCCTTTCAGCTTGTCGAGCATTGTCTTCATTATAAACTACAGTGATTTGATTGAACAGGGTCACATATTTCGATCCAAAACGAATAATATTGAAATAACAATTCATCGGTAAACTTTTTAGAAAGAGTAAAGTTGCTTGTCGAGCTAATCCAATCTTATTCTCGTCGTCCATGGATCCGCTACAGTCTACAACGAAAACAAACTCATTTGTTTCACTGCCAAATTTGGTTACACGTTGACAATCATCTTCTGTAGGCATGAACGTAGCCGTGATTGCATCCGATTCAATGGTTGCAATAAAAGTATCATGTTTTTCAGCAAGTTCAATATTAATTAGAATATCGCGGTCTAGATAAGTATTTTGCTGGGCGAATTTCACTGTGTAATGATCTCGTTGTGAAAGATCGATTTCAATCGGATGTGATGAAGAATTGATGCGTGCAATTTGTGTACCTCCCAACTTTTCCACTTGACAGCAGAATTCGATCGTATACGGACTTGTTTGCACGTACTGAGCATTCGTATCTGCTGGTGATCCTGTTCCACCTGTCTCAGGATTGTACCGAGGTGCAATAGTCGTCGGCACTACGAATCGAATGATGGAACCTTGAATAAGGTCCAGCTCGGTAACATATGAGATCGTGATTGTACATTCTTTCGATGGAGGTAAGGCACCAACGTTGATAATGAAGTTATCTTGTGACTTCTCATCTTGTTCCATAAGATATGCTCCATGACCATGTTCTAATGCTTCGGTATAATCTTTTTGTGCTACTTTCTTCTCCTTTAATTCAGCAACAATTTCTCGATTATCAATGTGAGCCACGAATGCATAGATTGCTGCTTGTTCTTCTATTGGAAAGCAATAAACAGCTTCAATTGGTATTGCTTCATCGTTACGAAATACTTGCGTAATTGTCACATCAGCAGCAAATGAACGAATTGTACCATGGATATTCACATTCTTGAGAGGAACGACTTGTAACGATTGATTATTTTGATTCACAATACGTAACATAATTGTAGAGGATACTTAAAAAGAAATACGTTTACGATATGAAAAATAATAAATGTGTGGTTGTTTTCTTTCTCATCTGTTCTATTTATTGACGGCGGGTCTTGCACAAGCCAATATTACAACAGAGGAAAGAAAAGAATAAGACAAAATGAGTCATTCTACTCCTATTTGTTAACGTTACAAGAAGCGAGTCATGAGATGTCTAAAAATTTCAATGTAGCGATACATCAGTAAACCGGTAGTTCGACAAAATTCAATATTTCACAGTTTCCACCGATACTTGCACAATATACATAATAGCTAAAGCTTTGATGAATCAGTTACACTTCACTTAATGTGATATCGAATCGTTAGATTGTTGTTGCAGATCTACATTTTCTCTAAACGTAACCAAGGTCATTATGATTCTTTCTCTCTACTATTGTTTGTTTTATCTGTTTCGATTTATCAATCTGAATCAATCACTAACATTTTCTGTCCTTTGTTGAGGCTTTTTCTTTTTTTCCTAAGCTTTTTGTTGTGATCATGCACCTCCTGTTATTCCTATTCATATACAATTTCATTTTGTATTTTGCTATTTATTGCTATTGATCAAAGAAATAAATTTAGTTTGTTGTGTCACATTTAATTTTTGTTTAATGACTAAGAATCGATAAAAAACGAAAATTATTTTGAAGGTATTAAATGCTCATAAAAAATCTTCATCACTACGAAATCATCTCCTTAATACTCTATCATTGTACTTGGAAATAACGATTATTTTGTTTCGTAAATATAAACTCATCGTTCATTTGATTCCACTCGAGTTTATTTTATGATCTATATAAATATACGAAAATTTTATCCCTTCATCTAGAAGAGTCTCTTTGTTGTTCGAGTTCTTCTTATTAAAGTTCATGTAAATTAATATTTTTTTTGGTTAAGACGACTTTATTATTTTCACCTCATGGGAAAAAATCTTCAAGTCGTTGATGGTGATCGTATTTATCCGATTTTAGAATTTGCCTATCAGCTGAAATATGAAAGAATCAACAATCATCATGATTCATTACTACCCATTGATCAATATTAATTGAACAAAAACGTTCATGAATTCGAACTGACCAAATACATTCGAATGTTACTGATGAACGTAAATCAAGACGACTTTCCTCTTTCTGTTTTGTTAAAAATAGGAATAGCAAGAAAACTATTCTTAGATTTTAGATCACAAATGATTTCATCTTTTCCATATGTAATAGGTGAACGTCATACTTTGATAAATTCAGACGATAGGAAGATATTTATCATTAACAGTAATCGAACTTTCAATACCAGTTTTCATATAAATGGCTCGATAAGGTTGAGTTAGTGGAACGATATTTCGTTGAACAACAAGATTTTCATCGATGATTAATGGATCAAGAGTTAATCAAAGATGTTCAAGTTCATTAAGCTTGATTTCTTCTAATTGAATATTATGATTAATTAAATTATATTGATTTTATGTTAGATTTAGTTCATTAATCAATTGATCGACTTCATTTTGAAGATGACTAAGTTCTATTTGATATTTTTATTTTCGACACTTTTCAAAAGAACCTAAACGACTGTAAAAACTCTTTTAGGTGAGAATTTTTCATCGAATTCTAGTGAATATATCGATGAGAACTGATCACATGGCTTGTTAACTATTTCAAAATTCACTGAGATTTTTAAAAATGTGTTGATCTGACCATTTTGATACTAAATTACCTAATGTTCGACTGTAATAAAAATAGGTTTCTAGGTTAAACAAATAATATGGAGCTAAGACCGTCGTTTCAAGAACAATGCATTATTGTTTTATACATAGTAACTAAAAGGACATAATATACCCTGATATTATTTAATTTTTTTTTTTGAAAATAGAATCGAACATTGGATTATTTAGTATCAAAATGATTAGATCCACATATTCTTTTAAATCTCAGAGAATCTTGAAAGAGTTAAGAAGCCATGTGATCAGTTCTTATCGATATATTCACCAGAATTCGCTAAAAAATTATCATCTAAAATAGTTTTGACAGCCGTTTATTTCAAAATCAGAGTTGGAGAGAAAACTAATTCGTGTATGTTGTAGAACAAGTTCCGTTATTTCGAACTGGCAAGCCTACCAGTTTCGTTCATTCGAGTTTTCTGATCGATTTTCTCGTTCACAGTTCCTCTACGTTGCGAATCAGTTGAATCCGTATCTCTCTAAAAATGGCAGCTACATATAAAAATTTTATAATCAAACTGATCAGTGCAAAATACTCTAGAAATTCTGACAGTTCACTGAATTTGGACGTGGTCGCGGATCGACTGGTGAATCCCCATGCAAACATCCATTAGTGTGTTTTTAAATACTAAGGATAATACTACAACCATAATCTCAAGCAGAAAAGTTTTTTTGAATATGAGCCTTTCACCAGACTCTAACAGCTATTACGGTTCTGATGATTTCAAATAGAAGAGTCGCTAGCGCTGATGTAGTTACGCTTCACTTAGCTTTTTCATATCATTAATCGTACCGCTTACATCAAACGTACACGTTCATATACACAAAACGGAGAGAAGAGTCAAGGAGAGCAAGATGGTTCACGATACATAGTTACAATAGAAAGAACAATAAAGCATGTGCTATGAAGAGATGACACAAGAAGGTTGAACATTAGGTATGGACAGTCAATTCAACCAAGTGATGATAGTAGATAATGGTACACATTGCATTCAGCCGAGAGCGTCACAAAGATAAGAACTAACACAAACAAAACAGATACGCGGCAGTGCAGGAATCATGTTCGATGAGACTATTGTTTCTCTCTTAGATGATCTTTTCATCAATGACTACCGCTCAGCAAGTGATGCTATTCAACCCGGAGCAGCTGTGCTGATCTCGATTGATGATCAAATTGTTTATCAACGTTGCATCGGCTTTGCCAATATACTCCAGTCAGAAGCCATTACCTGTAATACAAACTTTCGTCTGGCATCGCTGTCCAAACAATTTATAGCATATGGAATCGTTTTGCTTGAAGACCAACGTAAACTTACCCGACAAGATACTCTGGCATCTTTCTTCTCCTCAGAATTCAAACAAAAATGTCCGAAACTGAGTAGCACAGTTCGCATTCAACATTTACTAGATCATTCATCTGGAGTAATGGACTATGAAAATTGCGATCCATTGCCGGATGGTCGTCAATGGTTGGATCATGATGTTCTAGCGATATTAACAGATGAGACATATTTTGAGCCAGGTTCACAATATCGTTACAGTAATACGGGTTACATTCTCCTAGGACTTATCATCGAAGTAGTTTCCGGCCAAGCATTAGGTGATTTCTTGCAAAAGTTCATCTTTGAGCCATGTGGCATGCAGACGAGTATCGTTTTTGATTCGAATCATACTCAAATAGCGAACCGAGCTTTTGGGTACGCACCAAAAGAAGACAACGAGCACTATGTTCTCTCTGATCAAAGTCCGACAAGCGCAACACGAGGTGACGGAGGTATCTACATGTCGATCAACGATTATTTTCAATGGTATCGACACTGTCAACCAATAACATCAGCTGTGTTTCCGATTCAGAATGTGTCGAACTCTTCACCACAATACTACTCACTAGGCTGGTTCCTTTCAGATGTTAATGGACACACACGCATTCACTCAGGTCATTCATGCGGTTTTACCCATCAAGTTTTTCGTATCGATGAAGAACAACGTCGAGTTCTGGTTTTATACTTATCAAACATTAATGAGAATGATAAACGACTAGGCAACTTCAATCGTCTGATTGTCGAGCGGATTCCACAGTTAAGACCAAACAAGTTAGATCTACTCCGAAGTCTAACAGAATTAACACGCTAAACTGATATGCTGTCAAAATTGAATATTAAATTCTGAAAAAAACGATCACAAAAAATATCCACACTACATGTGTTGTTTTGAACCCGATCACTAGAAGAACAAAAGATGATACATTTTTTATAAAGTTTTAGACCAAAACTACGTAAACCCGATCATTGCTTGACCCACCACCAATCACAGCCATAGTTTCATCGTGATGTGTGTGAGCACGGATGTGCGGCATTGACATTCTTTTAGCGCATATCCACACCCACCCAATGTTACAAATTATATCACGTATAGTTGAAAATGATTAACTTTATTCGAGGTTACATATTGTAGTGTATTGACAATAATTATTATTATTGTTACATTTATTTCATTTCTTATCTGTTGGTGTTTGTCTACTGATGAGTCATGATTTACATATATGTATAATTCTATACATATATTTATGTGTGTTCTTTTTCCTTTATGTTGTGATCATTCTAATTGCATATATAACAATATTTGATTCATCCTAGTTTGATCGAAAGTAAAAATGTCCAAAATAAAAATATCGAAAACAAAAATAATAGATATGTCGAAAGGTACAAATGTTGTAAATGATAGTGTATGGGAGAAGAAGTTCTTTCACCCTCATTTTAACTCTCACATCCACATTAAGATCGCATATTTTCGTTTTCGACATTTTTATCTTTCGATATTTTTACCTTTCGACCAAAGTAGGGTTAACCCAATATTTCTATTGTTATATTTCTTTTGTTTCTTTTGTTTCTTTTTCGTGTTCTACATTCCATTTGTATGAGTCATCACAACATATAGATCTCTCTATATATATGCTTGTCTTTTCTTAAAAAGATGATAACTTTTGTTTGTTTCGTTTCATCTAACTTGTTAGTTGTTTCTGTTCTTCAAGTCAATAAAACAAGTTATTGACCTTGATCTTTATTGTATTACGCAATTGATAATACAATACATTTTCTGGCTTTTACGTATACCCTGAATACGTGACACATATAATTTTTATTATAGAGTGGTAAATAGATAATTTAAAATACATGAAAAGATCACTCATCAAATAAAAATCAAAACAGATGAGCCGCTCATTGTCAAAAATCAAAATGTAAGTTTTCATATCGAAACAAGT